CACCGGAGAAAGATAAACATCAACTTTACATCGACGTCCAGCCGGTTAGTACACTCGCACGATAATACATTACACTTTCAAATCGTTCACTGTTTTCAACACTAAGACTGCCAGGTTTATAATTAATTATTAATCCTACTAAGGAGAACCCGCGCGTTGCTCGTCTCGGATTTTGATGAAACTTGGCACAATGGTAAATTTGATGCCCAAACTGACCGTGGTAAAATATTAGAGACCTATGAAAAGCGGTTTATTTATAAAAATTAATTAAAGTTTGCATTTTAGCAGCGCGCAGCATGCATAGCTTGCAAAGCTTTTCCTTATCAATAGCTGATTGGCCGAGTGGCTATCATCGTGGAATTCTAATTTTTGTTCCAGGGTTCATTAATTAAATTAAATCAATGCATCCATGTCTTGTGACTGTTTTAGTTCAGCCGAAAACCTAAGAAAATTTTTTGATCTCCTGCCAATATTAACCCTTTCGCTGCGGGTGTGGTTTCCGCAGTAGTACCGCTCAGTTGCACTACTGAACGAACAGGCACAACGATATATTTTAAAATATTTCTATGGTTATCTATAAAAATGTATTCAGAAATTAAAAATTACGCTTCTAGTGAATTAGAAATTACAATTAAAGACTAAAATTCTCAATACCTTAATCATAGTGATAAATCTGAACTAAAGGCAAACATAACATGTCGTCTAGGGTCGACATTCGTACACTCAGCACGTCATGTGGATGTCCTAATGGGTTAAACCTAATTAATAATTATAAAGAGATAGAGAGAAAATTTTTTTTTTCGTAGGTTTCGTATACTACGCGCGATAGATCGTATTGTAAAGAAATTTTAATATTTTTTTTAATTCAGCGCAAACATATTAAACATTACCTGACTAATAAACAACATGTGATATTTTATTTTATTAACTGAATATTGAATGTGTATCAATCACTATTTGATATCGAAATAATAAGTTCAAAGTAACTCATCTTTCCATATCAGCAATAAGAGAATCCCAAATACTCGATGTCATTAGTTCCATAACCTGATAAAATTCAAAATTTGTAATTATGGTATTTTGCAGTTCAGCTTTTGTTATTATATTTATTAATATTTCAATTTATTCAGGAAATGGGAAATGCTCTCCAAGCACGCGCTCGCATTCAAATCAATTTAGCAGTTTCACAAGTGGTGGATATCAAACAAGTAGCTAACTTCCCCGATATTGTTTTTCCAATTTTGTGGTTCGAAGAGGTAAGATATAGATTATATTTAATTTGGAATATTTTTATTTGTGATAATATTTACTTATTATTTTTTATATATTTATTTTACTTTATAAAATTACTATACATATGTATATAGTAAAGCACTGCTTCCATCGAGAGTTCTATAAAAATAAAGACAAGTATGAACGAACAAATGAAACAGATCATATGAATTACTACCACTACAATAATATTTGCATATACATTGTCAGCATTAGAGAAAATATAAAATTCAAGAATTGATTTGTTTTATGAGATAATGATATCGATACCGTTTCATTTAAACTTCTATCAAAATTTTCATAATTCTCAATAAATTATTATATATTAAATATAATGTTCATATTTCTATTTGCTCCTTATTGAAATCGCTATGAAATATTTTTATAGTTTTCATCATAATCAAATATGTATATACTTATAATTGTGTTAATTGTATACCTCCCAATGAAAAAAAATATTGAGGAAAGAAAATTGAGTAAAATTTATTTAAAATTTTAGTGCAAAATAATTGGAAATTAATAATTACAGCTATTAGAAGAAATCTTTATGATAAAAATAAAATCTAAATTACCTGGTCTAAAACGAGATATTTATACATTTTTTATCTTTTCTTTAAATTAAAATTATTTTTAAAGTAGTTCAATTGTAAGTCATGAAGTCTTGCGTATGTTCTTAAGTACCCTAGGATATTAGTCGAATTGTATTCAGAAATGATATATTCAAATTCAGGTGGAAATATTGATACTTAGGACTCTAATAAACGAATGAAAAAAATAATAATTGAGATATTTCTGCCAAAAATATGTATCTATAACACCGTTTGCTATTGCAGGGAATCGACCATTTGCCCGATGAGATCACCGACTTATTAAATTTGGCAACCAAATATCCGCCAGTTGCTAAAAAAGTTCTTTCTTACGGCATGCTCGGTTTGGGAGTGTTGGTCGTTCTCTTGGCAATCACATGTCTAATTCGATCATCACACCGGCAAAGTACTTTGCATTTAGAAGGATCGAGTTATTTGGCGGCCATGCACAACAATGCGGCCAATCCGGAGAAATCGAAAACTGGTGAAGTTACAAACCCCGGATTCGAAATGGGCAATAAGTGATTATAAAAGATTCATTCGTTTAGTACTATAATAATATTTCCTTTTAATAATTTTGATATAAAATACTATGATGTTTTTTTAATTAAAAGCTATGTACTATATGTAACTATAATAAATTTACGAAAATTATTAATAGAATTACTGAAAGTGGTATTAAATTAATACCTTATGTTTAAAAGTTTTATCAGGTATTACAATATTACCTTAATTAATACGAAAGTATTATTAGGATAAAACTGAATAAAGTTAATATTCAATTAAAAATAATTTTAAATTTATATATTCTTAGACGATTAAAAAGAAAAATTATATAGCTCTGAACAAGGTGTTTCCTGGAATATATAAAATTTGAATTGAATATTAACATTTCAATGATATGATGAATTTAATTTTATGCATTATAATAAAAATATATTATACTACATAAGTTTAAATTCAAAAAACTAGTAAATATGTGATGGCAAATATTTTCAAAAAGACATATAGGTAAGATGTGATGATAACGTAAAGGATTCAAACATTTGATTTGATTTATAACGAATATTGCTCGTTGCATAGATAAAAAAATATAATTATAGATAATATTTCCTTTTTTCAAAATTGTTCCATTATTATGGTAAATAATATTTGTCATAATATATTTCTTGAGTATGATAATAATAAATTTAAATAATGTTATTTAAATATGTACTTAAATTTATGTATACACGCATTTGTATGATATTGTTTATATTTAATTTTAGTGGCGTTATTTTTAATAAAAGTAATTTTTCAAACTCTTTCAGAGCAACCACCGAATATACAAGCACATATCAAATGTTTATAACTATAAATATAAATATGAATTTAAAAAGTAACAATGTAATAAATAATATATTTCCAACATTTCAATTAAATTTGTGTATCTTGAACCGAACCTTATTTCTATCAGATAAAAAAATATTTTATTTTTTTATATGTGCCTAAATTTCACTTTTGACAGATTGTGCAAGTTAATTTGAATATTAAAACATTCCAATTGAAGTGAAGTGTATTCCAACAATTTATAACGATAAAGTTCGATTTAGAAATTAAAAATAACATTATTGGTATTCTCTTAGTATTATTGAAATAAAAGATAATATGAATAGAAATAAAGCGTCAATCTGTACTTCCACTCGATTAAAAAAATAAAAATGTTTTGTTTAATACGAAATAAAATAAGTGAAAGCTCTCTTCAGAATTAAAATACTCTGCCCTTAAAAATCTACTACATATATTGTGGATAAAGTAGAATTCAAAGTTCACTCAATAATAGTTAAATGGTATATAGATACAAGTTTCATCAATTTCATAATAATAGTTTTTTATATTTTTAAATGTATATATGAAACTAAAGAATAGATATTTTTATATAAGTATATGGTATTTAGGCAGTAAATTTTATACTTAAATAGTACTTATATGTATTTTATGTTACAATGTAATGAATATATTGTTAAATAAAGTTGTAAAAATACCAATGAACGTATTTTAATTGATATGAATTATGAATTGATAAGCATTTCATATAGTCAACATTTTAGGATTCACATTCTATTATATAATTTGTAACATCTGAAAATCAGGTATTTGTACCGCGTTATATAAATAAATACAAAGGACAGTATAAATTATTAATTGTTTATATTGAATTGAGTTCATATAGAAATATGATAAAAAAATTATTTTTATTGAAAGTTCATATAAGGATATGATTAAAAAAATATAAATAATTTTCATTAAAAAATTTGCATAAAACGATTCAATGGCCGATAATAAAACTTATATAAAAATACCGCGTTATAGGAAGTATATTAAATACCTTAAAATTATTACATACACAAATATTTAAAAAATGCCATCATTCAAGAAGGTATAACGGTACTAACCTTTGAATCAACCAAAACCACTTAAAAATCAGATGGATAACAAAAATTATCCAGGATTGTGGTTATAAACGATTAATATTTATAGCCAAAATATCTCATATTCACATAAAACAAATTACTTTCACTTCAAACCATCATCGCCTTCAGAAATAATATTTAGGTTTGAAAACTATAAACTCTTCACATTATACATAATTACTTACCTGATGACCGTTATACCTTTGTTATTTTTCTTATTGTTAGTATACGAATAGTATTGTTTCTTATAGACTAATAAAATTTAAAATTTAAAACTTATAGACTAATTGGTATCGGAAACGTATCGTTATATCTAGAAATATGCGACAATTATAAAATGTAATTGTACATAAACGAGTATGGACTTTTGAATTTAAATTCGTGAAAATATTTTTAAATAGAAATACTCATAATTACTTGTACTTACAATGATACTTAATAATTATTTGCATAAATCTCAATAATAACTAACATCAACACCAAATTTCTATATGTTTTGTATTATTCATTCGAACAGATCAATTGTAAACATTGACTTTGACAATTGCTTTCGAATCACCGATAAACGGCGGAGCGCCGGTAACTATAAAACATTTGGAACAAATAAATGGTTCCTACAACACGCTAAATACTTTTTGTAGTAAAATTCTTAATTAAGATTTAGTTAAAATAACAAAAATGTACTTACTCAGAGAATGGGACATTATCCTTCTAATTCTGTTGCTCCGACATCTTCAGTACACAGTGATCGTCTACATGGCTTCCACTTTTATTTAATCAATATGATCCGTTTCGGTCTTCTTTTAAATCATCTATGAATTTATTAAGTTTATATAGAAAATAATATAAGTTTATATGTAATAATTAGTTATTAAGATTATAATCTAAAATACGTAAGTAATTATTAAGACAAGTTGAACGATAATTACAATTTACCTAAAAATCCGAAGCACACAATTCTCAATTGACCACCAGTTCGCCGACTATCCATCCGATCGGCACAATCGCTCACACACAATGCAGATCAAAGGATATATGAAGCAAATTGCTCGTCAGTTTCGTTCATTTTCGGATCGGTAAGCGAAAGTTTACGAACTTTATTGAATAAATCTTTTTTTTTAATTACAATATTTATTATAACTGTTAAATAGTTAACATCTAGCAATATTGATAAATAATAACATAAATTTAAATAAATAAGAGTTCAAAGGATAGAATTTACATGAAAATAATATCCGTAGTATGATGATTTAATATAAAATAAAAGCAAATAATAATAAAATTAAAATTAATAAATAATATGAATAAAATTTCTGAATAATAAAATAATACTAGAAAAACAATAAAATATAACAAAATAACAATAATAGAATTGGGCCAGCGGTGGCGATATCGGTTAGAGCGTGGGCTAGCACCAATTAGTCACAGGTTTGCTGGGTCGATTCCCGCTAACGCCAAGTCTGACATCAGGCAACTTTGATGTCAAATTTCCACTTGAAGTCATAGATCTCAAATATAGCCTCAAGTGAAAATAGCCTCTCGTGGGTGTAGTTGCACATATAATAAAGATGTTAGCAAATACTTCGAGTATAGATAATTAGTCCTTATACCTAGTAGACACGCCGCTGAGTGTTGCTACTATCTACTGGTTTGCATTGTAAGATAATCATTGTTAGCAATCTCTGCTTAATGTTAATGCTCATGTAAAACAGATTGCAAAATAAATTAAATAAAAAAATAATAGAATTAGTAAGATAACAATAATAGTAATAATAATATTAATGTTAGCGTTTACAAATGGCTATTTATAAGATCATTGAGAATTTTTCGTTTTAGCCTGGTTGGGCGCGCTTCTGAGAATACTGAGAAGATAAAAAACTGATCAAATTTTCATGAAGGCAGGTCTATCGGTTTCGGAGATCTAGCAAAAAAAAGTAAAAAAAATGCCATTTGGCGATCAAAAATGATCATTAGACATATGCACATCAAATTATCAGATATTTTATATTTTAGCCAAACAGCACATTTCAATAAAACGACCGTAGTAAGATTTTATTTATTTTTACTAGATATTTTTAACGGGCTCGCTCTTACAAGTGTTGACTGAGCGGCTAGGGGATGAAAATCAGGTCTCGGGTAATGTTATTTAAATATGTACTTCGATTATGTTCGATTCCACTTCTACCAGCCTGATATCAAGCAGTAGAGACATCGGTTTTATCTTGAAAATAGCCCTTATCCGGCATTTCTGCATCAATAAATATTATTACAAAATTTTTAACAATTGTCCTATTACAGAAATTGTAATAAAACATTTGTCACACAGAGATGAGGATATGGGCGTAGCATTGAGTCAAATCAGCAAAACAGCTTCAGGCCTGTATATTTTTACTTTGTATGATTTTCTATGCAGCTATGTCCGCGAAAGACGATTTTCAATTGAGATTATATTTGAGATCTATAACCTCAAGTGAAAATTTGATATAACTCTACCCGGTACCTGACTGGCATGAGCTAGCCCACGTCCTAACCGTTATGCCACGGCTTGCAATAGATGACACCGACAACCCAATATGATCATATCTTTTACTGACGTGAATTTTGTTATTTCAATTTCTGTAATACTGATGATTTATTTTATTGATGCATCAATGCAGGTAAGGACTATTTTCACTGGAAACATTGTGATTTATATTTAGAAGTAAAAATCGATGCCGCTACTGCTTGACATCAGGCGGTCCAATGCAAGTAACGAACCTCGAATAATAGTTTCATAGGGAGAGCCCTAATATGACTTTATAAAGAGATTTTTGAATTTGATTGTTTTTATATAGGTTACAATGTTTTATTCTCATTTTTGACCAGCAATGAAACAGCACTATGAGCCGTTAGGTTGCATTCTCTTTAGAATGCAACCCAACGTCTGACCTATTTAAATTTGATAAATTTTTATTATTAGAGTTTACGTAAAATACTATAGGTCATATATTTTTACTTTTAAAGCAGCAATGCTTATGACGGGCTATTTTTACTTAGAAATTATATTTTGTCAATAGGTCACAAATAATGTCGATAACATTTAGCATTGTAGTTGGCAATATTGTTGTCCTATAACCATAGACGTTATAATACATATGCGTTAAGTGTAGGTCTAAAACTAAAAAACAGGTCTTCGTTAAAATATAGTAACACTAAAAATAATAGCACAAAAATTATAGATATATTTCAATATGGATCTTTTTCACAATTCTTCTTATACATAAACTCATATCCAACTGTTTTTCTTTCAAAGTATGCTAAAATATGGCTAAAATAATCTGTAGGCTTTGAAACGTAGAAATACTAGATATGTGTACAGTACACTACACATATCCACTAAGTGTACTCTATATACTATGACGCTAATATATATTTTTTGCTATTTTTATTTCTATAACTCGAGTTTTTATTATAATTAATTTAAAAAAAAGATCTATATAGGAATTAAAATTATATTAATTATATATCTCTTCAAAACAATTTGTACTTCACAGTTATTGGTGATAATTATGCTTACATATATTGTCTGGACTATCAAATATGCTAATACCCTGTCACTGTCAAAACAAATGAATCAATATTTAAATCCCAAAAAAATATTTTAAAATTTTTTACTTTACACAAAATTAATAAGTAATATTTAATATAGAAAAATGGGTGCTGGAGAAGGTGGAAACGCAGAAAACGGAAGAAAACTGTTCATTCAACGTTGCGCGCAATGTCACACCGTTGAAAAGGGTGGAAAACATAAGGTTAGGCAAAATAATGTTTATAGATGATTGTAGTAAAATAAAACAATTTGAAATGCTATCAAATTATAAAAATTATTTAATTATTAAACATTCACCAAAAATCTAATACATCTTAAAAATTAGAAATAATGTGCGTGAACTTCTAAATGTGTGTACTTCTAAATTGAAATTTAAACACTTTTAATTAAATTGTTTTATCATATTTATGAAGGCAAATCGTAAATTTATTCAGTTTTTAGAATATAAGAGGTATATATAATATGGTAACAGTATATCCAACAGGACAATAATTAAATAAGGCCGGGGATGCATTAAAATATCGATTCTGATGGTCTGAAATTGGTCATATTTGACAATTTTAGCTACACTTACATTATATTTTTATTTAGAAGACTAGGAATATATTTTAAAAATTCTAGCACTGCGCATAGTATTTGTCAAAGACATGTCGATTATTCTCACAATATTATTTTATAATGTAAACTCTGAATAATTGTTTTATGATGAGCAATCGCTTTTTTATTTCATATTCGAAGACTTGTCAAAATCGATATTTTTATTTTCAACCAACGGCTTCCAATAGATTTGACATGTTTCGTATAGTCAAGTAATATATAATAAATTATTATTAAAAATTTATGCATCCCCTGCCTTACAGGTAGGTCCCAATCTCGGTGGAATAATTGGACGTACTGGTGCTACTGCACCCGGATTTCCTTATTCCGATGAGAGCAAAAGACGATCAGTCGTTTGGAACAAAGCGACTTTATTTGAGTATCTTGAAAACCCAAAGAAATACATTCCCGGGACAAAAATGGTATTTGCCGGACTCAAAAAAGCTAACGACAGGAACGACATCATCGCTTACTTAGCGGAGGCCTCAGTATGATGAAATTATTTCTAGGCATGTTAGCATTGTTTACTTTTTTGATCATTCTCATATATTGAAATTATTCAATTAAGAAGACACAACAAGGGATTGATAATAATCAGTAAATTTATTATCAATAAAATTATTCAAATCTATAATAGAATCTGTAGTTTTTCACATGCTTTCGATAAAATCGAGTGAAAATCTATTGTAAAAATTTAATAAAATAATGTTTTTGAAGTGATTAGTAAAGTATTTTCTTAAATAATATTCCATTACAGGCCGGTCCCAATCTGTTTGGTGTAATGGGAAGACCGATCGGCTCTGTCAAAGATTATGAATATTCTGAATCAATGAAGAAACATCCAGGAATTTGGACAGAATCTATTATTTGCGCATTTTTGAAAAATTCCGATGACACCAATATGCCCAGCATGTCAGATCTAACTAACGACCAGAAAAAAGAAATCATTAAATACTTAGAATGTGTAACCAAAAACTCCAAATAACCGCTGAATAAGATCATAAATATTCATTGTATCACCTTTTACTTTATTCCTAAAGTTTGCTATTAATAAAAGTTATTTGTGAAAGCCGTTTTAGTCTTTAATTTTTTTTCCTATTTTTTATATTACTACTTAAGGTAGAGCTTATTAAAATTGGCAAATCAATTATATCAAATATGATTCTTATAAATAAGACTATTATTAATGAACAAAGATAGTAATAACGCATCTTTATAAACATTTAATTCTATTACTATTTTTTCGATAGATAATTACAAGATCAGTTAACCATCGCAATATCTGTTACAGTTTGGCCCCAATCTATATGGCATAATGAACAGACCAATTGCTTCCCTTAAAGATTACAACTACTCCGATTCGATGAAGAAACATCCTGGTATTTGGACTGAAGAAACAATGTGCGCTTTTCTAAAGCATTCCACTGGCACCAAAATGCCTTCAATCAACTTAACCGATGAAGAGCGAAAACATATTATCGATTATTTGGAATGGGTGGTCAAAAGTACCGAAAAAAAATCATAATTGTTTGCTTTTCGTTATTACTCTTACAGATATATCGAAATATTAATAAAAGTTATTTGTCATGATTTTTTGTATGATTTCAACGCAGGTCTGAGATTGCGCTTTGCAAATCAAGAAAAACATTTATATAATATATTGTATAAATGATTTATTAAAAGTAAATTTATAATAATCGTTTTATTTTTATAATTATCACAGTTCTTTTTCATACTTTAAAAACATGCTTTTTCATATCATGTAAGTAGTGATTTGAAGAACATTTCTAATATCAGACTTGTTTCAAAATTATATTTTAAATTATAAAATATTGCAAGATAATAAAAACGCTAGATAACTAAGATTACTCTACAAATATTCCAGATCTTAAATTGCTTTACAGTACCTCACCTGAATAAATCATTTATTTTGGCACAACATATTTAGTGATGTGAGACTTATTCCTACAAATGATTCTACAATAGTAAAAGAAAATATTTTCCTCTCAGATACTGAAAGCATAAACTATAATTTAGATGCTTTTTCCTGAAAATTTCAGGGAAGTTTTGTTATCACCCATGGCAATCTACCACATTTCTTAAAATAATAATAATCGTAAGCTAATTTTAAAAGAACGAATATTATTGACAGTCCTAACAATATGTTGATCAGATCTAAAGGACGAAACCATTTCTCTGGCTCAGCACGACATACGCAACTTTTTGATAGAGATTTTATCTGAAAAGAAAAATACATGTAAAATAATTTAGCTAAATTTTAAAATAGTTTTAGTATTAGCAGTATGAATATGTATTGAATTATTGGTTGAACTCAATTGTTGATTGACTACTCAAAATTGACACGGGCTAATTATTTTTAAATCATAATTTTATGATGACCTTGAAATTCAAACATTTTCAATCAAAATAATACATTATCGCTTCAAATACAACATGAAATGTCTGAGAGTTACCTTTGCATTAGAATTTAGATCACCTTTGACATATCTGCACGTTATTTGATCTATGTCCTTGATGATGCTTTGGTATTTCAGGAGAAGATCCTATATTAAAAAACAAAAATAATTAAAAAATATCAGACACTGGTCATATTTGACAGCAAGAGTTACAATGACCAAATTTAAATTAATAAATAAAAAGTAAATTATTTAAAAAGAGAATTTTTAAAAAAAAATGATTTAAATAAATAC